GTAGTTTCAGCATGCGTGATAGTAATCTTCAAGTATTCGTGAGTTAAAACTTACAGACGATTTTATATCTTCGAGGACGTTTTTGTTTTCAGTGAAGCTAGGATCGTAGAAACGGAGTTTTTTCGTCGGTGATTCGTGAAGACTCAACCCTTTTTAATTGTTCCTCCTTTGCGCGTTGTCCTAGTTCTTGAAATAATTGGCCAATCTATCAAAAATAATAAAAAACATTAAAACTAAAACTAAAGACAGCATGCCATTAAGGAATGTGGATTAGCTTACCTTTTCGTTAATTACCCGGGAATATTGATTATTTGAATTATTTCTTGACTTCATACTTTATTTTTTGAGACGGCGTTTAGTAAGTTATTGTTCTCTTGGTGAATATGACGTTTGAGTTTTCATTATGATCATTTTGATTGGATGTCAGAAACTTTATCACGGATAAGGAAAGCCAGTGATCTGAAAATTCAATTTTAGAGCTGTGAATAACCTACAACTAAAAGTTCAACATCAAATTCGCTGAGACCTGGAATGTACTACAAGTTAAAAGAATTGACAAATATAAGCTCAAGAAGTTTAATCAATTTCAAGACGTGCAAAGTCTCCAAACGAATTGCTCTTCATTATTTAATATTAATTATCATTCAGCAATGACCATCGCTTCGTATATCATTAGCATTAAACGGACGCCTAAATATCTTGTGTGGATTAAATTACTCTTGGAATAAAAAAACGCGTGCTCCCCGAGTTGCATTGACCCGAGTTCAATATCTAAATAAACGGATGACTTATCTGTTTCAAAATGTGTTTTTCGTCACTTGTATACCCGAATTGTTTCCGAACACGACTTCAGATTTTTTGAGTACTTTCATTGCATAATGCGTCCAAAGGTTCGATGCGTATCTAAATACTAAATGAAATAGCAAAGTGGTAAAACAGAAACAGGAATCGAAGGCAAGGTCATCACTATACAAAAAGAGAAAGTTGTATTAAAACTTTAGCAAACTTGAATTATCTTAAATGAATGAACAAAATTAATTAGCTTATAAAATAACAAAAATAAAATAAAAAACATAAAAAACCCATTTTCCAATTAACCTGATTCTAGAATTTTTCACGTCCTTTCTTTAAATAGTTCCATGTTTCTTGTTCCAACTTTGCTCATGTGCCATCAGAAACTCCCAACACTGGAAAAGTCCAAGAGAAAACGCCTGCAGTTTTGCCTCGCTGCAGAATAATGTCTGTCAAAATCATTCCACGAATTACAAGATCATTGAAAAGTCTTTTAGCCTCGTCATTAGTAAGTTTTACTTCTGCATCTTGCTCTTTCCGGTAGATTTCTAACTCTTTATACTTGGGTAGAGCACTTTTTGATTTGCAGAAAATATCAACAACATCTTTTGCAATTATTATATTCGATCCAAGCCCCGTGATAACTTCTACCACATTCAATAATTTCAAGGCTGGCATTTTCATGTCTTTTACAATTAGTTTTTCCTTTGCTCGCAATTGACATACATCACATTTTCCACATGATGATTCGATAGTGGACGATTGGATTTCTAATAGCGGTGTTTTCCAATTGTGATACTGGGTAAGAGCATTTTGTCTGCACTCATATTTTGTTTCGCAAAAGAAAATTATCTCCCAGATTTTTTTTTGACATTCCATTAGATATACCTGCCTCATTTCTTCGCCCTTTGTTGTGATATCAGTTAGACTAAATAATGTAATTATGAGTAAGAATTAAGTTAATTTTCTAATATTACTAAAATATTCTAGATTACCTTTCTCGTTCACCTGCAACGATATTATAAAGTACTCGTACATCTTTTCTTGCATAAAGCAAGATACATTTTGCTGACAAACCATCACGACCTGCTCTACCAGTTTCTTGAATGTAATTACCTAATATTACAAGATTAGAATTAATAGAAAAATGATCTTTTGATCAAAAATATTTAATATAACTTACTTAAATTTAGAGGCATTGTATAATGAATTACTAAACAAACATCTGGCATATTGATGCCTAATCCGAAGGCATTGGTGGCAACCATAACCTCAATGGATCATTTTTTCCATTCCTTCATGGTGATCTTTTTCTCCTCAGTTGGTATTCCACCGTGGTAAATGCCCACCTTTATGTTTTCATCTCTTAAATTTATTCTCAAAAAATCTGCAACTTCGTAACAATCTTTTTGAGTCGCGCAATAGATTATAGAACATTCAGGAATTGATTTTATTTGTGTGATGGTTTCTTTGAGGTTTTCTTCTCTGTATTCCTTTTTTTTTATAATTTCATATATTAATTCGTCGCGTTTTAATGTGGCTCCATGTATTATTTTCACGCATGAAAAATCAAGACCCAAATTCGTCATAATATCTCGAGCATTATTATAAGTTAAGGTTGCGGTCATCATAAGAATCAGAGCTGTGGGACAAATGGTCTTTAACTGAGATAGATAACACCACGACTCACTAATATGATTATATATGTAAGAATCTTTTTTGCATCTTCTCGATATATTATTGATTCTTACCGAAAATAGGCATAATTCTTTACACAATGTACTTCATCGATTATGAAATGAATTCCTTGGAAGGTGGCCATATTTTTAAGTAATGTTCTGAATTGAGCATTACGTTCAAATTTTTCCGGAGTTATGAATAAAATACAGATAATTCCTGAGGAAATTTCTGTAAATACTTGCTCTTGAAAATTAAGCGGTTGATCATCTGATGCGTAAAGACCAGCACACAGAATCCTAGCAGCGATCATTTCCATCTGTGAAAATATAAATCTTTAAATTATTTACAAAAAAATTTTTGAAAAGAAAAACTAACCTACCACTTGATCATCAATCAAGGACTTTAGAGGACTAAATACTACGGTTAATCCTGGATTCAGCAAAGCTGATACTGCATAATATAGTAACTTTCCATCTCCAGTCCGCATCAACAATAACGTATCATTTCCTTGGGTATATGTCATGATCGTTTGTTGTTGTGCATCACGAAATGAGCTGAATCCAAATACATCTTGCAATACTGAATTAGCCGCATCATCCAAAGATTGAGGTTCACATTTATATTTTGACACATCGAAAGACTTATCAGGAACCCGATTTTCAAAGTCATTAAGAACATAAAATCGACATACTCAACAGAGTCCCCATGGGCAGAATCTTGGAAAGGAGTGACATCCAAGACACTTGGTAGTAGTTTCGAAGTTTTCAATCAATGGTGTAAAAGAAGGTTTAAATTCTTGTCGGATCATGCTTTCCCGTGCTTTAAGACCATAAGGTATTAATTCCTGACTAAAGTCGAAAAGCAGTAAATCATTTCGTTGTGCCGCAAATTCTACTGCCTGTTTTTCATTTCGATTTCACCACTCACCACGGTTTCTAAGCTTTTGAACATTTCTCTCCTTCGCAAATTTTTCTAAGTTTGCTATATCTTCTTTACTGAATGTTTGTTTTCCGCATAAATTTCGAACATTTTGCAATATTTCTACCAGTTCTTCATTATTATAGATAATCGCCAGGGCATGTCGTGCTTCATATGATTGCCAGAAATCAAATAGCTTATTTGTAAACATAAGCTTGATTTGATTCATGGCCTCATTGTTTGCAGTTCGTGAGGTTGTTATAAGAGATTGTTCAGCAGACAATCTGAAGGTACTTTGAATCATTGTTAAAAATTTACTACATTCTTTCGTGGTAGAATCTTTGAGGTTTGGAATTGGTAAATCTAACTCAGGATTATCTTTATGCCAACAGACCTCATTCCAACACATAGAATGATCATCCGTAAGATGTTTGAGAAGTCCTTGACATTGTACTTCCCAAAGTTCGTTATCTGTTGGAACATCTAATGCATTATTTTCCTTTCTAAATCCTGCTGTATATATACAACCATTAAAGTACTGCATTATTTGTGGTACGTATCCCTTCCATTTGATATTTTTCTTTATTTAAAATGAGTATAAATTTCAGTTTTAATTGTTTAATTGAATTCTAATAGATTCAACTTACCAAGGGATTTTCTTATATTTTTACTCAAATGCTTGAGATCCGCAAAGATCTTGTTTATATATGGTGTACGATTCAGAGTCTTATTTGTTTCTAGATCTCCATCAACACAAATATCAAGCAATATATTCTCCTCTTCAAGAATTGGTTGAATTTGAGAAAGCAAATCAATAAGAATTGCATGTTCCATAGTACATGAACTTGATGTGTGATTTTCCTCACGCAAAATAAGAACTTGATCATTTCTTTTACTAGTACGTGATTTCATTACGACATGATATGCAATCACCGGTTTATTAAAATAATCTAATAAAATATCATGAATAAAGATGATTATTGCTTATAAAAAAATTATCATGAAAAACAATTCAATATACCTGGATGATCTCCTTGGTAAATAAGTTCACCACTAGCTTCTCCCGCATTTCTTACATGAGACCATCCAACATCAAAAGCGACTGTCAGTATATTTTTCCTCGATTTTTTCAGATAATCAATGACCCTATTAAAAGCATCTAATGCACTTTGTTTAGAGAGAAGTTGAATGGATTTGTATAAAGGAGTTTGACGATTATGATAACTAGATTTGCAGGATTGGTTAGTAATTCCTATAAGTGCAAGAATATTTTGAAGTGACTGATGATTCACTCCTCCAACAAGACCTGCCGTAGATACACAATTTGCGAAATTAACACCATTTGACTCGTTTGAATATTGGAATATAGATTTGCATTGCTTGCATTTGATCGTGATATTTAAGCTAAATACTAAATGATTAGTAGTTATTTTTTTTTGTGTGATTCTTGTTTCTTTGCATTCACTACATGGTTGCAATAAAATTATAGATAAATATGTTTCTGTACTGATAAATAAAGTAGATTCCAATTGGTGTTCTTCAATAATATCTTGAATCTGTTTTGTAATTTGTTCATTTTCTACCTTATTGTCAGATAGTTTGGAGCTTGCTTTAGCACGATATCATTTGTTCTGATACATTTTTTGCTTGCTTCTTGGTAATTTTACTATATCTCGTAGTTTTCGAAATTTCATATGATTTTTTATCATCAAAGAAAAATGCAAGAAAATATATATAGTAAGCAACCTAATGTATCATTATTTGATATCGATGGTCTAATAAAGAATACATTTACTTAGGAATGATTCATATTCTTTCCACTATATATCTATTCCTAACAAACACCTACATATAGTCACAAAACGAGTTGGATTAGTTCCCGCTTACTTTTAATTAACGTTATTAATTTATGAAGACACTAATCAATCAAATCATGGCAAGCCTCATGTTTGTAGTTTAACTCCTCATTTTACCTTAAAACCACTTCTAAAATCCCAACATCATACAATCTTGAAAGAACGATATCTCGTCGCATAACGCTCTCTCACTATTAATTACGAGACATTGTCTACTAGGTGGAATAAAGATACGTGATGCGATAACATTTAAATCTTGAATGATGACTAATGTACTCGAATGAAATAGTATACAAGACCGCTGAATAAATTTACTGCCATGTTCCCGATTTGTTTTTTTTTAAATTTTTTTTGATTTTTAATTAAACTAATGAATGCGTCCAGATCTAATACCACATATACCAAAACAGAGAAGAATCAAAAAATAAAGGAAAGAGAATAGTTGGTTATAATAAAAGGAATCGAAATGGGAAAATCATCACCTACGAAAAAAAAATGACAAAAAATAGTCATTTTCTTTTTTTTAAGTCTCACAAATTCACTACCAATAAAAGCGCCGCAATTTCGATACCAAGACCTTTTGATTCAAGTCAATCAAGGTATTGAACATGCTTTTTAACTTATTGTATTTGAAAAACAAATAAAACTATAGATGCACTTCTATTAATAAAGTTATAATAATGCTTCATCAAACTCAAATTCAAATTATCTTAATATTAGATAAATAAATCTCAACCAAAACCAGCACTTCAACCATTCAAATTCAACCAACCAACAACAAATCATTCACCTCCAAACAATCCAATCCCGAACCCTTCAAATAATCCAACCCGAAAATATTAGCCTCATTTATACCTAATCTGAGGAGAATTCTCCTCAGATAAAAGCGAAAAAAGCAAAAAATTTATTAATAATTCTATTAAAAACACAAATAAATAAATAATACTTCTTACCGTATATTATATGGATATATACATATTATTATTCACAATTTATCTTGGAACCTCACCTATCAATTTTCATTCATTTATCTAAGCTAAGATAATTTCAATTTGAGTTTGATAGCATTATTGCAATATTATTAATAGAAATATACATGTATTTACAATTTTACTTGTTTCTCAGGGTATATTAAAAATCAACTATTATGCTGATTTTTAATATAACTCATACAGTAAGTTAATAAATAACATCTCCAAACCAAGAAAAACAAGAAGATCAGCAAGGTTTCAAAGCATCAAAAAACTTTGCTATTAATGATGATGTCTTTAACAAGAACTCAATAGAAAGAAAAATTGCTATTTTAGTTTGCTTCCCCCATCATCAATTGAAAAGAATGTGGATTATATAATGGAATCTATGATATCCATTACATAAGCTTGTAGTAATGTAGGTAATAATGGTGAAAAAAGAAGGGAAAACAGATGATGATAGCGAAGATGGTGGTGATGGAGATGATGATGGTGGAGATGGTGATGACAGAGATGGGAATGGCGGAGATGGTAATGACGGAAATGGGAATGATGATGATGGAGGTGAAGATGATGATGATGAAGATGGTGAAGGTAAGGATAATGATGGCGGTGAGAAGGATGATGGAGGTGAGGATGGAGATGGTAATCGTGAAGGTGATGATGGTGGAGATGGTGATGATGGCGATAACAAAGGGGATGTTAAGAATGCTGGCAATGGTGGTGATGATGATCTTCTTTTTGTTGGTGGTGGTAAGGATGAGGATGGTGATAGTTTTCTTTTTTTATTATTCACGGAATTTGCGCGAATCTTTAACACAATATCAGAGAGCCCAACTGTTGGAATTGTCGTTAATTCCCTAATTAGACTCTCTTTGGCTTGCGATGCAGTTAACATAGGAAACTCGCATCGCAATTTTTTATACGCACGATTTGATTGTCTTTGTGCGAGCGAAAGAAAACCCGGATGCAATTCACCAACTTCGAATTTCCTCTTTCTTGGTGATGAAGATGATGATGAATATGACAAAGATGATGAAGCTGACGAAGGTGAAGATGGCAACGAAGATGATAAAGATGATGAAGATGATGACGAAGATAGTGAAAATGATGACGATGGTGAAGATGGTGGAGATGATAAAGATAACGAAGATAGTGGAGATGATGAAGGTGACGAAGGTGATAAAGATGGTGAAGAAGATAATAGAGGTGATGATGGCATGGTAGTATCATTAGGAGGAGACGAAGTAGGATGAGGATGATGACCATTATTATTGTTGTTGTTGTTGTTGTTGTTGTTGTTGTTGTTGTTGTTGTTGTTGTTGTTGTTGTTGTTGTTGTTGT